CCCCCCCCATGCATCAACCCCCCTCTTTCCAGTGCTCCCTTGTTGCCATGGCAGACCATGAGGCTGAAATGGATTCTGCTTATTAAATTTGCGAGCTCTTGTGTATTCAGAATGAATGGTGCTCAGTCATAAAGAGGCCCAGCCTCCTCATGACACTGGGGTAGTTTTTTTTATCTTAGGAAACCAGGCGCTTGCACAAAAGCGAGCGAAGGTCTCATTAACCTATTAACAGTGACCTCAGAGAGTTCAACTGCAGGGGCTTTTTAACACTGAGTGCAAGGTGTTTTCCAGGAATGCTAATAAAAGCCAACACTCCTGTTGAGAGAGGCTAATAAATGGTGGTTTATTGGTTCATGGAGAATATACATATATATGCATGCATTTATGGGTGATTTGAGCAAAGCCCTCTCCTCTGTATGTATTTTGAATGTACCGAGATCTGTACCATTCGGTTACCAACCCTAAGACCAGCTCAGAAAAAGACATGGGGGATGGCTGGGGGTTGAGCTGTAAAGGCACATCACACTTTAGGGCCTAAGGCAGAAAATTCAAATCCTATTTCCCCCACCTACAGTTGTAAAAAATAATAACAAACTAAATCATGCTGCCTGAGGTACATCATGGAGAACTGAGCCTGAGCAAAATGGGGAAGAGGGAAGAGGACCATGGCGGCATAGTGGTTGGAGTGTTGGACTGGGATTGGGGAGATCTAGCTTTTTAAGTCAGGATGAAAATTCAAAATGACCTTAATAGATTAGAAAGTTGGACCAAAGCTATCAAAATGAATTTCAACAGGGAGAAATGTAAGGTACTGCACTTAGGGTGGAAAAATGAAATGCATAGATATAAGAATATAGATATAGGAAGCTAGCTTGTTTTCTGCTGCTCCAGAGGATTCGGAACAATGGATGCAAGCTACAGGAAAAAAGATTTCACCTCAACATTAGGAGGAACTTCCTGACACCAAGAGCTGTTTGAAAATGGAACACACTCCCTTGGAGAGTGGAGGAGTCTCCTTCTTTGGAGGTTTTCAAACAGAGGCTGGATGGCCATCTGTCAGGGATGCTTTGATTTTGAGTTCCTGCATGGCAGAGGGTTGGACTGGATGGCCCTTGTGGTCTCTTCCAACTCTATGATTCTATGAGTCCCATGAGATATTTGGGAAAAGTCAAAATGACTTTATAAAGAGAGATGGGGAAATAATGGAGAAGACCATTTGGCTATAGCAGTTAGTGAACAACTGTGACTTTCTACATGTTTTGGATTACAGTTTCCCTAATCTCTCATCATTGGCTACACTTGTTAGGGCTGATCAGAGTTGTAGGTCAGAAATATTTGAAAGGGGTGCCATAGGAAGGGGGGTTGCAGACTGCCAGAAATAGTGCAAATTGAGTCCACTTTAAGTGTTAGGGTTAGTGCTAGGGAATCATGGGAATTGCTTTTTTTTCCTGAGACATTGAGCCTTCTCTGTCAGAGTTCTGGTACCACAATAAAATACAATTCCCATGATTCCCTAACCCTAACCCTAACCCTAAAAGTGGACTCAATTTGCAC